GATATATAAAAAAGCATATAATCAATCAGACTGACAGAATTACTAAAAAAAAGAATATATATATATATCATACTAGGCTATCTGGATTGAAAGTCAAAAGAGTTTTGTTAGTTCTGAATAGTAGTTAGTAAGAGATAATAAATAAACATTATAATGATAGATACTAAAATTCTAGTAAATTTTACAAAATATAACATAGCAATTAAACAAATAACTTTTGTAACTGCAAGTATTAGAAAACTATAGCATGTTGTATAAAACTAGATTAGCTATATGTGAAATATAAAAGATCTTAGTAAGTTTTCTGTTAAGAATAAAGTAGTTCTAAGAGCTTTGACTGCATCAAGTATTTTAAATAGTATAGCCCTAAAGATGTCACTATAATACAAGTTGGAATTGCATATATAAAAAGTTTAAACAGACAAGACCTATAGTTGGTTTGCAGATATGATATCTAATATAAAATCTATATAGTAATATATAGACAAACTATTTAAATTAGGCATCAAAAGTGCATGTGTAACTAATTGTAACCTTTTATATATGAGTATTCTGAAGACATCTATGTTTAAAAAAACTTAAATAAAAACATTAACTTTTGAAGACAAACTTTAACCAAAAAAATATATATATATATTAAATAATATTTTTTTGTTAGTTATAATATGAATATGATCTAATTTGAATGAGTTAACTTATATTTATTTAATTAATAAAGTTTTAATATATTGTTTAAGATATTTTAAAAATCATTTTTAGATTTATAGTGCTATACTATATTATTTATAAAAGTAAAAGATGATATTATTGTAGTAGTTAATGCAATTAAAAAGTTTGTTTTTAATGAAGATTGTAATAAGAATTTAAGAAGCTTTGAACTGTACTTTGAGTTTATATAACTAAAAATAAAGTTATAATAAATTTTTCAAAATAATAAAAAATAGAATTTTTTGTTTTATATCTAAATAAAATATAATTAAATTAGTAAGACTATAAACTGTAATTGCTTTAGCTTTTCTGTCTTAGTATAAAATTTTGATGAAGTTTAAATAAAGTTGAAAAATACTAATATATTTGCAAACATTTAGCAAACATTTAATGTTAAGTTTGTTAAAAACTTTGAATATATCTTAAAAGAATATTCATGCCTTTTTGTTATTAGTTTTGTAATGTTTAATTATATTAAATAATATTTGTATAAAAATATAAGTTAAGCTTTTTTAGTTGTTACTAAGTTAAAATTACTTAATAAATAATGTTAAGTAATGATTTAATTAATATAAGTTGTAAAAATTTTAGTAAACTATTTTTTAATAGGTTTGATAAGTGAAATATATTTAACTTGATCTAAAGTAAAGTTTTATAAAAATTTTTTAGAATTAAAAAGATGTTGAATGTTTTTTATATAGTTGGTATTTGTTGTAATATAAGGCATTTTGTTAAAAAAAATCAAATAATATTTTGTATTTTGAAGTTTTGATATTTTAGAAGTTCAAAATTTGTTTTTAAAGAATTAGCAGCTTTTTAGTTTAGAAAGTTATATATAATTTTGTTCTAGTTTTTTAAAGTAATTTTTGAAAATAGGTTAACAAAATAAGATTTTTTTTTTAAATAAAATTTGTAAAATTTATAGAATTATATATTTTTTTAGATTTGTATATATAGTAGTTTTTGAAAATAGTCTTAAAAATAAAATTGTAAAGTTTGTTTTATTTTAGTTTTTTTTTTTTTGTTAAAGGCCATACTTGTGGTGATACTTTATTGACTTTATATCGGGTTAGCTATTACAACTATTTTTACAAAGATGAGAGTACAGCTAGTCATGTATGCAACTTTTGTTTGTCTATTTAAATAGTCTGCCCTAAGGTTCTATACTAAATGTTATACCTATAACCTACTAGGAGATTATCTATTTAAACCTTCTAATCATCTGCCCTGTCATATTGAAATCCCCAACTAACTCTTCATATATATCTAACCAGTATACTGTCTAAGCAGTATAGTACCTACTCTTTTTGTACTAGTTCTCAGGCCATTACATATTTCAGAGTACATCATCTGCCAGTAAGATACAGGAGGCTCTCTGTTGTTAACTATCTACCCATTTTTAGAACACTAACATAGACTACTCTTGCAGAGTTCATCCAGACTCCAGTACTGATTTCACAGCATATCCCTAGTATTTTTAGTATATCCCTGCTTTGAACTCAGACTCCCAATCCAGATAGTTCAGAAGGACTGTGAGCTGTTCTTAGTATATTGAGGCCAGCCTAATATCCTTTTTCTCTAGACCAAAATCTAGTAGCCTGGTTGGTGGTACCTTTTATCTGAGGTTCTTGCCTACCTGAATTCTTTACAATGGTATACATTTTCTAGGTTTAGTCTTTACAGTAGTACTGTCAAAGATCTGTGTTACCTCTTTGCTTAGAATTTCCAAATAGGTTTCAGCTTCCCAGTTCTACAAATTTACATAGCTGAAAACTTATTTTAGGTTTGCACTACCTGATACCAGTTTGCATTTCTCTGTATAACAGGTTATACAGATGCCCCAGACCTGTCAGTCATGCTGGTGCAACCATAGTTACAGGTATTCTATTCTAACTGATCGACAGAATGCCATTACTATAATACTATCTATATATTATATAAATGATTATTCAAATTTCACTGTTGGTGGATTTTAAACTTACAACCTATCCACTTCACTAAGTTGCCACACTCATTGTTTTATTTTAGTTAGTTTAGTAATAAATGTGTTTTTTTTGTTTTTTTTAGTTTTAAGCGTGATCTTGTTTGTATGTTTTTTTTATTATTAGTAATATATAATTACATATTATATACAGAGTATATTAACAAAAGTATAACTAATTATATATATAACTTTAGTCATTATCTAATTAAGAGTTTTGTCTATAGGTTATTTGCTAGATACTATATCTAAAACTCACATGTGAGTTCCTTATTTAAACTTTCTAATTTTCAACACTTATTATATATATATGCAATCTATATCACTATTATTATGACAGAACAGATTAGAGCTATTTAATTACTATTTATATCTAAGTACTAACTTATTGGATATTACTAAGTATCTATAGTTTTTTAAATTTATTCTTAACACAAACTTACTAAGTATAGTACCAAGATTACTTCTTAGATTTTATCTATTTTAGTATATCTTATATTTACTAAACTGATTTAGTGCCAAAGATGTTCAAATTTTAGTAAGTCTATTTCTTTTCTATAATTTTCTTTTATGTTTGTTATATCACCTGCTAGTATGCTTTCTTTTCATTTCTAGTATATTTATTACTTCTCTTATATTGAGTACTAACTCTCCATATTAGAAAACTTCTTTTTAGAAACTTTCTTATATACTGATCTTCTATTCATATGAACTTAAACTACAGAGCTTTATGTATATTCATATGCTTTCATAGATTACAGAGTTTTGCCTTCAGCTGAAATTAAACTATAGATCTTATCTGTAGAGAGATGCCTAGACCACTAGACTACAGAACTTCATTCCAGATAATAAATATATTATTAGATAAGAGTTAATCTAAATTTATACTATATTATGTTTTTTTAAAACATAAAAAAATATTTTAAAATTTTGGTAAAAGTTGTACTAATTAACCTTGAAATATAATAAAAAAAAGAATTTTTTAAAATGGTGCACCATGCACCATGATGCACCCCTCATATAATGTAAAAACTTATTATTGCAATACATAATTATAAATTTATATGGTATATAACAATAATGGTATTATGTAACTTATTATATCGAGCTGCAAACTATTTCTACATATGTATGTTATGGATCAAGTTGGTTTTTAGATCAAGTTAAACTGATCTGAGTCAAATTAATCAATTAAAAAACCCAGCTGGCATCAACACAATTCCGGCCTGCACTAACCCTAAAATTCTGCTAAGGACTACTTTAACCCAGATCAAGTTTAACTTGATCTAAAAACCAGCTTAATTCAAAATATGTACGTACATATGCACTTATCTATATAATTAGCCTATAGAATTATTATACCAAATTCCTTATGGCATTACCATAATATGTATACTTACATTACATTATGAACATACTACCATTACGTAAAATGAATATATTAATTATCTATAACCTACTCTTATTCTAAGAACTTTTAGCACATATACTAACCCTAAATATAATTAACTCATTATTCATACAATTATTATAACAAATTCCTTACAGCACCACTATTAAATACATAAAATGCTGATCACTAATAAGGTATTTAGCAAAATACTCTAATCCATATGAATATAAGTGAAACCTTCATTTTCACTAATACCAATAGCTCAAATTATTTTTATTACTAACCTACCCTTTAAGAACTTACAGTGCATATACTAATTCTAACTATAAGAAACTAAGTAAAAAAGTTAAATTGGCAATTGAATGCTCTATGAATTTCTCAATATAAAAAAAATTAACAATGCAAAAAAAGTGACTACAATCTATAATGCATAATACAAAACAATATTACCTAAAAAGACTATTAGAATGTAAGTACATACAAACACAATATATAGTTAATAAATCAAGAAAGGTACTTTGCATATAATACTTCTTATGCAGGCAAATTAAATAGCTTTCTATGCAGTATTACTAACAAATCTTAATTTAACCTACACACATACAATCCTAATCATCATTTAATAAAGCATATAACTAAATAAAGATCAATAATAATGCTACATAGTGTAACTGATATATGTGAACTTTTATAAAAAATAAACAATCTTCAATTCAAATCTATCTCATATTTACCTTTATGTTTTATTTGGACAAGTCACAATATTGTGACCTGCTTCTTTACAAAATCCACAAGTGTATTGCCCACGTTTTTTTTTACTTACTTCCTGTGATGTAACTTTTGTAATATTCTTATTATAATAGTGTACTGTCTTTGGTCATCTTTTAACAGCCACCTTCTGAGGATTCACAAGTTGGATCATACTAATTTCTGTGTTTTCATTTGACTAGTTGAAGCACTAGTCATGTCCTCTTGTACCCTAGTCAACTCTTTCTCACTAGCATAAATTTTATTTAAATAATCTTCAATTAATAAAACAAACTTGCTATCACGATATAACATGCATTTATTGACAGCAGTATGTGCAAGACCCCAGACTTCTCTATAAAAGAGCATCTCATTGATAAAATCATCATTTGCAATCTCTTTTGTTTCTTCACTAGCAAATGGTTGCAACCACACATGCTAATTCATATTGCTCCTTAGAGTCATGTCAGTATCAGTAGTTGTATTTTTTAAATTATTAAAATGTTGACCAAGATGTGGGTATTTCTTTACTACATCTAACCTTTGTTGCTTAGGAATCCAACGTGGCACAATTAATTGTAAACTAAATTGTGCCTTATTAGTAATATTTAAAAGATGGTAAAAATGATGACATACAAGCCTCTTTCTTTGTTGCAAAAGGCAAGTACAACTATACAAACCATCCACAAGAAGAAATATAAAATGGTTGATTCTATGGCTTATAACTCTTGATATTTTCCAGATTTCCACAATCGAGGTTCGTTCTAAATGCTTCAACAGATATGTAGCACACAAAATAATTACGTCAAACTCATCATCTATATCTTCACTTTGTGAAGATTCATAAGAAGTAAGTGACTCAATTTCTTCAATTATAACATGACTAGCAGTATAGTATAAACTTTCCTTCATTTGCTCTACTAAAAAATGTGCAACATTCACTCTCAAATAGCATTTAACTAAAGATTCGATTGTGGGAAAAATGGTGGTTGTGTTTACCATAGAAGGAATACCCCTTTTCCATTCCTCAAATTCTTTTCTTTTTTGTTCCTCACTACTTCGTTCTATCAGCACTTTACTTAGATCACACAATAACATATTGCTATTTTCCAACACTCACTTTATACATGCATTCTGACTTTCTACAAAAAATGTAAACTGAATGCCAAGCATAAATGTCATTGTAATGAATGCATGTGCCCATCCAAACCATCTATCATAGAGATGGCACTCAAGGTATAACTTCGCTGCAGAAAAACTAATAAGTTGATTCCAATAATATTCAAACATACATGATGTATCAGCATTTCGACATTGCCAAAACTTACTATAAAATTCATCAAACTGATCCCCTAACTTGCTCCACAACATTTTTTTAATGTTTTCTTTAATGTGCCAAATACAAAAGAGATAGTGTGTTTTCTGATATTCTAAAGTTATAGCACGTTCTATTGCTGGGTCATCATCGATCACAAATACATGTGGGCATCTATTATTCATTGCTTTCTTAGTCATTCTAAGAACCCATTGGTATGTTTTAGTTAACTCATTTCTGACAAAAGCCTGAGCAACAATACAGGACTGCATGTTATCATTCTGTATTACAAATAAAGAGAGAGGCATGTTGTATCTATTAGTACCCGCAGTGTTATCATGTCCTATTGCCTCATTAAATTCACATCATAATATAATTTGTTTAGGACTTATTCAAAACAAATTAATCAACGTATTGGTTTCCTCCTCCCACATAACTTCAACAAATCAATGAGAATCTTCTTATTGTTTGAATAAGAGTTGCTCATAAAACCTTGATGCATCATTTTTCATAACACTATATGATAGGCGACATCATTGTATCTCAGTATAAAGATCCTTGGCAAATATAGGATGAGATGAAAACTTCTCTTTTAAGATGTGACGAACCATAGTTGCATTCAAATGACACTTAGTAACAAAAAATTCAATTTCTTTTCTCATTTCATCTGTGAATTGCTTATTTTTTTCAAATTGAATCACTTTAGATGATAAATTATGGTTATGAGTGTCATCTAATGTGGTGACAATAACACGAAAACTAAGATTACCCTTTAAAGGGCATGAAAGATTAACATGCCACAGGCACATTATTCGGGACGAATTACTTTGCTTCTTAACATTTTTTTGTTTAAGCATGCCTGAATGTTTGCAGAGAATTGTTCGTTTACAAATTTCCTTGACATTCTCTGCAGTATCTAACATCTTTACATGTCCAAGTCATATTTTGAACCTTCTGTATTCAGCAAATCGACATATATAAAGCTTTGCCTCATTAAAATTATCAAATGAGTCACCCTCCTTCAAAGATATTACCTCAATATCCTTAGTTATGTCATTAATATCCTCAGTAAAGTGAAAGAATTCTTCAAAATACCCTGTTATATCGAAGTTATCTTTGCTATGTTCTATAAATACAGTTTGTCATTTAGCTGTATATCTATAAAAATTTTTAGTTTAGAAAAAACCTGATTTATAAGCACAAAATTAGTAATACAAAAGAACGTCACAGTAAATAATGAAAACCTGACCTCATCAATTGTAGTTAATTATTTATTATTAGTGAGATTCAGCCCTGATCAGAGATATACTGATACGTATTGATATGTAATTAAAATTAGTGATGCAAAAGAAACCTGATCAGGGCTGAATCTTGCTAATAATAAATAATTAACTATAATTGATGAGGTCAGGCTTTCTCTTGGCATCACTCATTTGAAATCCAGACAAATGAAATCTTATGAAGTATAACCCCCAACAGATTACTAAAACAGTCTGGCTTATGACCCTTCAAAAATTAGCATCAAACCCATAATACATGTATTCTTATCTTAAATGTTCTAAAAAGTTGTTATAGCAGCTATTAGTCAAAGTCTTGGAGTAGTTACACATAAGTTTTTGCTAGTTATTGGCTTAAGCTGTTAGTTATAATATAAGGTTGTCTTGGTTGTAAAACTATTATCTTGTTATAAAATTGAGATATAGTACATGTTCACTTAACCGTATGTCTACTAGTGATGCCATAGAATCATCTCAAAGCCTTAACTACAGTAGTTACGCATAAGCATAACATCATTGGAACGATTCTATAACATCTCGAATGTCTACTATATTAGATACATATGTACATTAGATCCAACGCATGCATAACAGTTAATAAAATATTTACAATCATGTGTAACCTACCCAAAGGGGTGCACCTAGAGGCCTGCGTTGGGTCCCGCAGCCCGGCCCGGCCCGCAAATTTTTGCGGGCCGGGCCGGGCCTGAAGCAAAA